CGCATTCAATTTCGCATGGCTTTCACTGGGGTGAAGCTGCAGATCAAATGCTTCTGGGCGGCGTGAAGATGCTCTTAAAGGCGGATCACTTTAGGGGCTCTGTTCAGACGGTTGACTTGTTACCTTATGAATTCGTTCGAAAGCAAAGCGGGTCGCGACAACAGCGAAACGACAAATGGCGAAGTCTGCTTGTACTGTTGCAGCACCTTCACAAGCATGCAGAAGGGGCAAGAAATTGTGGAGGAGATGATGTGGGATGCATCGAAGTGACGCATGATGGACGTGCGGACTTCTTGACCATTAAAAACAGACACACGCAAAAACTACGCATCTCTCGAGACTCCGTACTATGGCTGCAGTCGCCTTCTGGGGAGCCCAACCACTCCAATATCGAAACGGGAGCATGAGATGTCTCGTGTGCATTACTATCAGTTGTTATGCACGTTTGTCCATGTCTCAGCATGCTTGGACGAACGATACCTCATAGTGGTATCCTCCTCAGCATTTTTGTGTATCCGTTAGACTTTGTATAAATATCGATAACGAGAGCCGTGTAGATGCAGTAACATCTCACCACAAATTGGACAATAAGAAGGAGTTATTAGAAGTGCTTCGTGTTGAAGGTCCTCTCATCTGCAGAAATTAAGCCTGTCGGGAGACGGGTGGACGCCTTAAACAATAAAGGAGAGTAGTTTGGAAAGTTAAGGAGTCGAATTTCTCCATTGCAACAAAAACCGAAGTGACTGGAGTACGAATGAGCTGTTGGGGGAGAATAGAGCCAAGTGCATGTAAACCTCGCTGCGCTCTACACTTTAAACCTCGCGTTGCAACTCCGCGCCACTGCAAACCAACTCATGCATGCATACAAATATGGACATATGCATATATATATATATGCATGCAAATCCCACATGTATGATCCCGTCTCCGTTGACACCAGATAAACGTTTACGCTTTGCGATTTGGGGTCCCATATACCCAGTCTGAAACGTGCGAATGCCGATACTCCAATCAAGCTCGTATGTACGGGTTGTGCAGATGTATATATATGCACCATTCGTGTACTAATATTTGTATATATCTATGCATCAACAGTGTACTGCGCAATGACTCATATGCTGCAGCTAGGCCTCATCACATGCAGCTATCCATTTAAGTTCCTGCCCGGCTTCGATACTGGGGTGCTTCCCCTCCTCAGATGCTGGCTGAAGCCATTTTACGCAACCTCGCGAGACGCGTAATTCTTGCGTGTGTCTGTTTTTAATGGTCAAGAAGTCCGCACGTCCATCATGCGTCACTTCGATGCATCCCACATCATCTCCTCCACAATTTCTTGCCCCTTCTGCATGCTTGTGAAGGTGCTGCAACAGTACAAGCAGACTTCGCCATTTGTCGTTTCGCTGTTGTCGCGACCCGCTTTGCTTTCGAACGAATTCATAAGGTAACAAGTCAACCGTCTGAACAGAGCCCCTAAAGTGATCCGCCTTTAAGAGCATCTTCACGCCGCCCAGAAGCATTTGATCTGCAGCTTCACCCCAGTGAAAGCCATGCGAAATTGAAT